CATAATAATAACTGCACATATCTTTGAAGAATAATTTTCTTTATGAATTCAGTTTCTTTCTTCAACATATTTCCTTTCCATTTTAGAATTTTTGGATTTAATTAAGGATTTCTGTTATTCTAAAAAAACACTAAATGCATTTACAATGTATAGAAAAAGTGGCTAATTTTATTTAAAAATATGAACATTCAGAAATATGAAATATATATAATAAAGACTGGTTACAGAGCTGGTGTGGCAGAATTTTTAGAATTTATTGACAGACCGAACAACAAAACATAGAAGTGGCAAAACTTTTAGAATTTAGAGAAGGCATTGGAAGCAGAATTTAGGATCCACAGAGACTGCATCAGGTGGCAAAATGCCTAGTGCCAGCTTTGTGTATGATGCATTAAGACATTTAGATGAATCTTTTAAATTGCAAGTTTTCAATTTCTTTATTAATAAAAAAATTCTTTTCTATAATGCCTGTCCATGTGATAAGATTAGAAGCATTTTTGATATTTTCCATGCTTGTGTCCAGTGAAAAATAGAGAAAATAAAGGAAAGATAGAAAGTGATGTCTAGTGAAAAGAAGATAAATAAAGGGACGTTAAGAAAAAGATTCTAGTATCAGAAGTAAAACATTCAAATATTATGTTTCCATTGTTCTTCCAGACTTCTCCAAAAAGTAAGAAATTCATTGCAAACTTTCTGTAAAATACATCCATTATGTGTTAATACCATGCAGACATTTTTCGTTTTGTCACATAGTTCTCGAACATTCTTCAGTCACATGTCTATAAATCTTGCCTTCAAATCCTTCTAATCTTTCCAAGCTGCAATGTCTAAAAAACTAAAAAGAAATTATCCCTACCAATTCTGTAACAGCAAAAAGCCAGAAATACTTGGGGAAAAAGTGTAAAATTAATTTGATAGAAAAAACTGATGCATATTCTCAGAATTTTTAATAATATTCTGAGACAATTACATGGGAAAAACTCTTACTATGAAAATTAAAAAGAAGACATTTTAAAGTAATTACATAGCTAAATTTGCATTTGCTAACAGCTGTTTCGTAAATTGTGCTTTATAACATTATACCTTGTTTATTTTTCAAATTCAAAATATTGTATAATAAGTTGCCAAAATGAAGCTTTATAATATAACAGCGAAAAATAAAAATGTTTTATTTTAATGTTATTTTTTAAATATAATTTCAATATATTACCATTATTTTAATGAAATTTATCAATGCTATGAGGTTTTAAAAAAAATCGTCGAAAAATTCTGATCTCAGAATTAAAAATTTTCTATAGAAACTGATCTTAAAATCACCAAATTTAGAACCGTTTAATAAAAGAATTCACATCTCCAAAAGTGAAAGTTGTTAAGAGCCCTTTATTAGAAAAAATGAATTTCGAAATGCTTATGTTTCACTTCTTGCTTAGAAACTCAAGTATCCTATCATTTATATTAGAAATAGAAACAAATTATAACCCATTCAAAAGATAGCCATATATGTCAGTGAATCGCCAAAAAATATTCCTCCAAAATACAAATTCACACTCAAAATGGCAATCGTAAAAACAGACAGAAATTTCAGATGATTAAAATTAAGGACCTTCTGCTGATTTTGGTCAAAATTAAAGACTTTTTAAGGACCAAGAATCGATTCCAAAAAATTTAAGGACTTTTAACCTGCTGAGCACCATGCGTATTTCTTAGGCAATCCCGTTCAGGCCACGCACGGCAGTTAAAAGCGCTGGTATTGTAGGGCCAGTGATTCTTATTGTAGAAGAAGGTAGTTTACATTTGGAATGTGATTCCTATAGGCATTCATTCAACACGTTACGCGTCAAGTCTGTTTTGTAAATAGTTAGATTCTATACAAAGATGTTATGAAGCAGAAAATTAGCATTACTGAATTCCGGAAAGAATTACGCTATTCCTTGAAATTCACATTGAAAATAGCAGTCGTAAAAACAGACAGAAATTTAAGATGATTAAAATTAAGGACCTTCTGCCGATTCTGGCCAAAATTAAGGAAAGACCAAAATTTGATTCCAAAAAAATCTAAGGATTTTAAGGACTTTTAAGGACCGTACGAACCCTGTCTCTCATTCTTATATCTAAAATATGCCACCACTGATGCATCACAGAAAATATGAACTTCAACCGAATGACCTTCACTTAGAACTTCTGCAAAGTAGTACCTCTCTATTTTCAACACGTTTAATTCCTTAAGTTCAGTACACCACTTTATCCATTTGTACTGTAACTCTATACTGGCAACTCTGAATCCCACTCCAAACCTCCCTCCCATATTTCCCGCATTAAATCTCTTAATTTGCACCACAAATGGCGAAATAAATCTGACTGGATTAAACACCTTAGCTGCTGTACTTAACACCGATCTTTTACTATTTCTCAGTGATTCTAAACTACTCAACAATAATGTAACGTCTACTTTCAAAACATCCTTTTCCAAGTTCCCTACCAAGCCTAACACTATCTCCCTTAGACTTACTTTCTTCACACAACCCATTCTGTGTGCTTTATAGTATAATTCGACATTCTCTCGGCAGTGTACCTATGAGGTTGGTAAAAGTTAAGTAGTCCAAAACTCCTGTCAGATGTGAAGCAAATTACTGCCATGTCTAAAATTACTTACAAAGTCACATAAAATTTTAAATAAACCTCTTACCTAAAAAAGAACTTGCACATTCTTAAGCTAACAAAATCAACTACAGCTCGTGGTGATGTAATTAAACAGGAACAGTCAAATTCTTTATAAAAAAACAGTCAAATTTTTAATAATTCAAGCTAATTCAAGCTTTCAAAAATGAATTTTGAAAATTTCAGTTCAACAATGTCATTCATAATCGGCACAACATAGACATAATGAAATTTAAAGCAAATCATATTTCCATCTGTGCAGGTAAGGTGATAAAATAAAATGCACATATTAGGTATAGCATTACAATGAAATTCACAGTTCAGATAATAATATACAGATTATATCATTAGGAACTGAAAAGATATAATTTAAAACCTTCAAACCTCTTTTTTTGTTAATGGAAGGAATTTGTTGTGGATCTAATGAGATGTGTTGAGGAGTATTCACTCAGAGAAAGTGATCTCCCATCCTTTACTTTGCTGGTACAGCCCCGCTGTAATCCTAATGCAACACCGCTGAGGAGATAAGTGGGACCAAATAACCCATCAATCACCTATTTTCATGTTTCACTAGTTCGAGGGGGGGGGTTGGAAAAACATGATGTGGCAAATGTGTCTCGTAGGTCATGGTTCAATCCAAATTTTATCCTAATGATGAGAGTCCGCCATTACTAACAGATGAATATGCATGTCCTGTGAATGAGTCTTTCACTGGGCAAATGGTGAACTGGTTAGGAAGAATGGCCCTATGCCTTTAAATAAGTTACTTATATTTTACCATGACAGAATCTTTAACAAGAATATCCACATCTTTATCAAGATAAGTTTTTACTTCCTTGTACGAAGTAAAAAGGAAGTATTGTAATAGCAAAAAGTTTCAGGCAGCATATTTCAACGAAAATATCCATTTTGATCGCTATCGAATGCAATTTAACGATGTTTTTGCGTGATATCTATACGTAAGAACAGAATAAAAGAATCGTTTTCTCCAAAAAAATTATAAAACTGCTTTAAAATTAATTCTGAAGAGAATTTTTCATGGTGTCTGTACGAACGTATGTACGTAACACTCTTTTCTCCAAAAAAATTATAAAACTGCTTTAAAACTTATTCTGAAGAGAATTTTTCGTGGCGTCTGTACGAACACTCAAAACGCATAACTCAAAAACGAGTAGCCTCAGAACGTTGAAATTTTGTATATAGGACTGCTATAACATGTAGATGTGCACCTCGTATTTTGGTTGCAATTGGCCGCACCAAAGATATATAAATATATTTATATATATATCCACTCTGTTACCCGGCTCAGTGATCTCAGTTTCTTTACTCTTATATGTTTATAATATGTTTGTAAATTGTATATGTTTAAATATATGTATATATGTTTGTAAATTGTACATTTTTTGCTTTAAAAATGATTGAATTATGTTGTTCTTATCTTCCGGTTAAGGTTTTTATGTCTTTAGTAAATCTGTATGCAATATTTTTAGAATTATCAACAATTTTAAAATTGTTTAAGTGCCGCTAAGCCTAATAATGTTTTTGATGGTGGCTATTGCTCTTGTTTACATTTGAAACAGCAGGATATCGGATTTGTTGCCAATCTAGAGAAACTTAGCTTCGCAACAACAAAGATAACACCTTCATTTATTATTTAAATCATGCTTAATCCTTTCTGGAATTTTTTCGAGGAAATAAGCATTTCAGATTTACTTCGTAATTTTTAATACATATATTTTGAGTTTTTATGTATTTTTGCTTTGTCGCAAAGTGAAAACTGGATTAATTGAATGAGAAATACTCAATCGTCTGTGAAAAACTGTTTCTTTTTTGTTTTGTTTGCTTAATTTCTTTTATACATAGTTCTAGCTTTATTATAGTATTTGAATAGAACATGTGGCAGCGATTAGATAATTCTATTCTTTAAATGATATAAATTTTGTGCATTATGAGTTATAATATGAACGAAATATAATACTGTTAAGTGAATCTAGCGCCAGAGTGTCGCTGTGGTAAACAAATACTAGAGTGAATTTTAAAGAATGCATTTATTCTATTGTGGTTTATGCGCTGTCGGCGAAGTAGATTTAATTCAATCCAATAAGTTTAAATGAAATGCAAGAAAAAATGCGTATAATTTAATATTCTGTACAAGGAAGTCATGTGGTGTACACATGAGATTTTTTATTTGGGGGGAAAAACTCATAAAGGTGATAATTTTATGTTAAGACACAGTTATGTAAATAGGATTTTTATTTTTTCCACTAACTGCAACAGCAAACTAAAACCTTATTTACATATCAAAGCCCTAGTGAAGGATGACAGGTCTTCCAAGAAAGCTGTTTTTTTTTTTTTTTTTTTTTTTTTTTTTAAATACAAACAGATTTCCCTAAGGATGCAAATAACAATACACCTAACACTTTGTAACAGAACTAAGAAGGATTTTGTATTCACGAACAATGAATGGTAAAATTGAAAAATGGGTTGGTACTTGTACGATGAGGCACTGTCATACATTTCCATCAATCAAAGATTAATTTTAATTTGATATTGATATATTTCTCTTCTACATAAAATTGCTATCTTACCCAGCAATGGTTTGGTCACTTTAGTCAAACTAATTACACCTGGAGGAGTAAATTCTGTTTGGCCAGGATCGGATTCCAGATAATAAACTTCTTGAAACCTAGAAATTTTCAAAGATGAAGAAATTTAATTCCCTATTAAATATAGATTTCTAAAATTTAGTTTAAAACAGTCATAAAAATCATATAATGTTAAATTAATATTTATTAGGTATGATAACAGATTTGGGCATTTATATACAGTACAAGAAATTTTATGTTATCATTCACATATAGCCAGTAGATGGCATTTAATTCGATTGCATTTGATGTTATTCAGATAGTGTTATTGAATTGCGGAAGATCCACCTGTTGGATATAAAAATGTGGAAAAAATACATCACTTATTGTCATGAACAATTTAATTGATATTACCAAAATATTATTTAATAATTAAAAGAATCTTTACATTGCCAAATGTAGTCAGCCATTTGCAAGTTCTCTTTTATTGAATGACGGATGCCCTCCGAGCATTAAGATCAGGGAATACAGCATAGATCAAATAATTTCCAGAAATGCTATGAATCGTTCTCAGTTTAATGTTACATATTGTATAGTTAGGATTCTTACAAATTTAAAAATTAAATACTTAAAATTAAAAAAAAAATTACATTATTTCCAACAATCAAAAAACAAGATGGCAAAATTAAATAAATTAGTACACTAGCAATAATTAAATAGTAGCATTAAAATTCTTCAATGAAAACATGTATTGCATCTGAAAATAAAATTATGATCATGCATCTTTTTGTTACGTATCTTTTTGACAAATTCCTTGAAATACATATAAATATAATACAATTAAATACTTTGTATTTAGTTGACATATATTAGACTACATCTAATTTATAATATATTTAAGAGCTAACTTTTACCAACATCTGCTGTGCTATTAAAAGATATTTCTAACTCCATAACTGGTACAGAATCAGATTTTATTTTGGTACACATATATTTTAATGATCAATTTTGCTTTCTTCCACGTCAAACATTTCTGCCACAAAATATTCAACATGAAAACATGTTAGAATAAAATAAGAAAAATAAATATAAAACTGCCCTTGTTTACACAAAAAATGATATTTTTCTTTCTTTTCAAAAACTGTTTGGAATAAGACTTACAACGTATGGAAAATGAGTGAGCAAAGAAGAAATTGATAGTCTAGTTACCTTTACGTACACCAGTGTTTAAGACAGTGTTGCTGCAGGCTTAACAAATGGCATTTAAATTTTAAAGTGGTGGTTGGTCTTAGTAAAACTTTTTAGTAAGAAAAAACAAATGGTAAATTATGAAAGCATGGTCGATGCCAATGGCGTAGCTAGAATTCCAGCGCCCGGAGACAACTGAAGAAATTGCATCCCTTTCTGTGTGCCAAGAATGGAAAACTTAATTAAAAATTTTGTAGCTTTAATTTGATGCCACCTGGATGGGATGCTGGGCCCGGGGACAGATGTTCCCCCCTTGCCACACCCTAACTACGCCACAGATCAATGCTTGTTATAATGGCCTCTCCCATCTTATATCCACTTTACACCAGTGGTGACTATAACAAAAGATGATTTAATTGTTCAAAAGAATAAACAGTAAAGTTAAATTAAATTAAATTTAAATAATTCTCTTGCGCCATTGCTGCAAGGAATGAAATTTGAATTTAAAAAACATTCTCTATTCGTATAAAGCAAATTAAAGTTAATTAAAATTTAAATTTTAAATTATGAAATTTTAATTGCATATAAATAAATGATTAATTATTGCTGCAAACTAATTTACAATATCATTTAAATTCTGAGAGCATATGCAAATTAACTGCATGTATCTAAAAACATGAATAAATATAAAATTTCATAGTTTAAAATTTAAATTTTAATTAACTTTAAATTTGCTTTATATGAATACAGAATGTTTGTTAAATTCAAAAGAAGATTTAACATATTCTCAACAGTTGGGAATTTTTTGCACTAGCTGCAGTAGAAGAGTCGTCATTATAATAAGCAATCCTACAATGAACATAAACTGGTTCTTTAATAAAACACAGATTGCTTTTTAATAGTTTATTTTGCTATATTGACAAGCAATGTTTTAAAATAATAAAAGCTACAAAACATACATAAACAAGATAAATAAAATCCTATAGACTGGCAACAGCTCATCCTCCCCCCAACCGTGATCTAAATGGAATGAAAACAATACCAGCCAACAATTTAAATAAAATGAGAAGAACCAAGGTATTAAACATTCTCTTTAAGAGAAATATACAGAACATTAATTTTTTTATCAAACACAATTCTAGATAAAATGCTCCAACTATACAAATACATTTTTAATACTATTTGCAAAAATATTTTTTCAATTGGGGGGGGGGAAGGAAAGTGGGTCAAAACACAATACTTATACTTTTAATTAAAATATTGTTACGGTATTTTCTTCCTTCACGCTCGTACAAGGTTCGTGTGGATTTGGAGTGAATAACGATGACACTTGATGAAGTATCGAAACACACTTTATTTACCAATATTAATCAGGACAGCTACAAAGTCACTTTTTACAGTCGTCGAAGATCTACTATAAACACGCTGTAACAATCAGCGACACAGCCTTCACACTCTCAGGCTACAACGGTGAAGACAGCTTCCTGCAAAGCACCTGAGTATAGCTCCCGACTCTTCAGTTCAGTCATTCCCGGAGTTCAACACGCTCTCTCGTCGATGCACTAACCGCGATACACTACGAGACTCTTTCGATGCACTCGCTGCCCAGCAGTCAACTCGATCCACTCCGTAGGGATTGACTCGCTAGACGAGATACCAATTTGATACTAACTAACTCGCACTTGAGACGAGGCACTCTGACTCGCCCCCGCGATGAAGCACACTAATTGACTGTGGAACAGCAGGGTTTATATAGTTTTCGGCTTGTGTTCGAGAACATTCTGGGCTAAACCGTTAAGAATTCATTCCAGAAGGTTCTCCAAACGTCCATGGTATATCGCCGATTTTGCTTCCAAAATGGGCGATTTCTCGCCAAATGTGGCAACTCTGCCTTCCCTTGCCATTTTATGGCAACCTTAAAACTTCTTTGCGGGGAAGCCATCTTACCGCGCCTGTACATTTCGTAACAATATTTCACGAATATGACAAAAATTACACTATAAGTAACATAGCTGTCAACCTCGAAAAATGAAAAACCAGAAAGAAGACTCTTGCAACCCAAACCTGGCATTTCGGCAGTGTTTTCACACTGCACAGTGACGCCATTAAAAAAAAAAAAAAAAACTTTTAAGTTCACTTTGTAACACATGATTCAGTTTATTCAACTATTTATAACTTGATCTGGATATAAAATGCATGATTACATAATCTAAATTTTATGTTCTTTGTCTAACTTCATATTGTAAATTTCTTACAATGAGAAAACTCCGAGCAGGGTAGGAAATCTTTAATTTGTCCAAGTAAACACAGTAAAAATAACTAACCTACATACTACAGGGTTGCCACTCGAACAGGTTTTTTAAGAAAATTCTAGTGAAGCCATGAAGTGCACATGGCTGCGCTGAGGGCAAATTAATTATGACATGACTTGAAAACATAAAAAATTGCAATTACAAGATTTTGATTAAAAAAAGCTATTACAAACACACAAAGCATTATTATTATAACTATTACGAATATAATAAGAGTTTTCCCCTCAGTAATTTTCAAATTCATTTTTTTTTCTTCAAAACTAAGAAAACTTGTTATACAATATTTACATTATAACGAACATTCTCTTCAGCAATCAACTGTACCACAAAATTAATTAAGTCCAAGTAAATTCCCTTTTTAATTACATAAAAAGAGTATATAATACCAGAAGTGACTGTTAATGCATCTAAAATATTTGCAGTCAATGACATTGACATACATTTATAATAAAATGTCAGCACAAATATAATTAGTTAAAAGCAAAACTTAAACATTCCGTAGGTCAGTCAAAAAGTTAATTGCACCTCTTCGTAAAAATTTTTGTCAAAGCCTCTTTTGATGAAACTGTCTAGCAACACTTCAGACATTTAGCTGTATCATGTGATGTAGCAGCTTTCAAGAGACAATTTTAATTTATCTGATAATCAGTTGTAAACATGTCTCAACAGCTGCAAGTGGCATCCAAATTGGAAATGTGTGCAGCGAATCGTTTTTTTGTGGGCGAAAAGGTGCAACTGCTATGAAATTTATTGGCAGTTGCATGAAGTTTATGGTGAAACTGCAATTGCTGTGAAATTTATCGGCAGTTGTATGAAGTTTATGGTGAAAATGCAATGTCACATCAAGCTATCGAAGTGGTGCAACATGTTTCAGAACGGACGTACCGATACTGATGACGCTCAGTGCGAGGGAAGACCAACTGCCACAATTCTGAAATTGCTGCTTGTATGAATGAATGCATTCTTGCAAACGGATTCATAACAAAAGATGAAATCTTTAATTAACTGGATATTTCTTATGGAAGTGTGCATAAAATTATTACCAATGAGCCTCAATTTCATTTGTGCTGATGGGTGCCTCGTCTACTGACGAAGGAACATAAAGGGAAGCATTTTGAAAGTGAGTTGAAATTCCTGCAACATTACCAAAAGAAAGGAAATGAATTTCTGGACAAAACTGTGAAAGGAGATAAGGCTTGGATTCACCACTTTTCACCTGAAACGAAACACAGCTTCCTCGAGTGGGAACATTCCCACTTCCCCGACTCGGAAAAAATATTGAACTGTTCTATCTGCGGGAAAGATGATGCTGACGCTGATTTTAGACAAGGAAGGTTTGGTGTATAAGCGATAAGCAACGGAGGACGTGGGCACTGTCCCTTTACCAAAAGGTTAATCGGTATAGCACCACGTCCACCTATATCTAGAGCCTAAAGAGGAATTACAAGACGCCACGCGCCCAAACCCAGAGCCAAATTCAACCCGGGGGCAGTCCAACAGACCAAATGCCCACGAAAGACAGTCCCAACAACCGCCCAGGCCCCACATTTATTAAATAAAATAACAAAAGCATGCAGGGCCAAAAAGGGCGAGTTTGGACA